AGAAGAAATCTCAAGCTCAGAAAGTCCCAAATCAAAAACCAAAGCCAACCCCTCCCCTTTAACAACTAAATATATCAACCAGTCTCATAGAACCAGCATCATCCATAAAGTTGCAATAACGAATAGATAACAGCCACTAAGCAGTATAACTGTATACTATGAGCTCAATACTAACCCCTGAGCATGGGCAGGTAAAATTATAAACAAAGTGTACCTACCAGAAGTAGGAGGTCTAGGCCAGATGAGAGTACCAAGTTGTCTGTCGGGAAGGGCCAATGTGACTGTCTGAGGCAATGAAAGAGGATATAATGAGTGGGTACCAGCTGATACAAGCGAAGTAGAAAAAGGAGGTAGAACCTTACACCACATGGGTAACCCAACAATAAAGCCCTGAGCCTCACAGTTGTATTACTACATCTTGCATTTAGTCCCTTGTTCTACGAGAAATGACTTTACTAAGTGGAAAGGATCCTACTAGTAGTTGGTGGAAAGAAGAGGCAGAAGACGAAGACAACTTATGCAAACATCTAAAGGGCTGGTATTTTCAACCAAGAACAGTGGTGGTATCTCAGAATACATTACAAGGTCTATTCCTGATTGTTGACGCAGACTTAAGGCTTGACTCACATCCAAGGGGAAAGATGAAGGAAGCTAACTGTACTAAAGTTAAGCGAGTACTTATGGCAAGACAGGATTACTGAGCATGTCCAGATAACTTCCCCATCAACTGGATAAGAGGCAAGCTAGGCAGAGGTGAGAGAGGATGAAAGAGTTAACCATACTTCTTGGCAGCAACTATTGAGGGAGTAGAGTAGTAAGGGAAGAGCTCATAATAGCAGTTGTAGTTGTAACAATTTTCAACAATGGCAACTATTACAGAAGACCAGACCTACACTATTATGGAGCCAAGAGACTACCGAGATAGGAATAGTAGTAGACTAGAATCTACCAAATGGAGGTACCAACTGTCTGGTATCTCAAACGGACAAGGTTCTACCTAACCAGAGGTACTTGAGTACCTATAAGCCAGTGGTAGTTACCCTACTATGTACAGCAACCCCAGGAGTTGATTTAGAAGTCATCCTGAATCACTTGACAGTATGTAAGCGCAGAGTTACTCTACTTTATAAGGTAACTCAAGATTCCGTTCACCTACCTTCGAACTAAAGTTACCCAACTAGAAGTTACCAGTTATCCTACTAAGAAGTCCAGTTACCCTACATTGAAAGTAACTTATTACACAAGACTTTCAAAAACATTACTAGATTGTTTGTTACCTGAAACTATATAGACTATTCAAATCTCAGGTTATGTGGTAGCTAACACACTCCTTCAGCCCTCTTAAAAGTTCTTAGCGTCATGGGTTACAGTCTAAAGAGTTGCTGTAAGTCTAGTTAAGGTCTACAAGTGGAGATACTGTTGTAATATAGGATACACTCTGGCCGTCTAGTTGACTAGAAGCTGTCTGCAGGATATATAATGGACACTGAGGTAGCCTGAAAATCTGGTACTCAGGTTGCATTATGTATATCAGACTTAAACTACCAGAGTAGTAAGAAAAGTAAACTAGAAGTGGTCTGAAGTCTGCTGAAGGTGGTTGGATAAACTGAGGAATACCCTCTTGAGATACAGATAGGTGTATGACCTGGACCTGCATCTATGCAAAGGTATTCTCCTCAACTCACCATCCAACTACTATTAAGATAACTGATAACTCATGTCACCTTTCTGTAGTTGTCATTGGAGAGTTGTTAATAACTAAAGTATATATACATTTAAGTACAGCTGATAGATGCTTGTCAAGGTGGTCCGTGGATAGTACCTATTGAGACAAGCTTGTAAGAAGTATCCACTGCAGAAGCTATGTGGTACACTATCAGTATATGATAGTATAGAGTAGATTCTGATAGATGTTAAATGGGCTGTGTTAAGTGTACAGTGACAAAATACATATCAGTAAGAAGTTCACTAGTTGATTAGATTTCCAATTAGTATGATTGCTCATAACTGTTATATCTATGATGTGAAGAGCTTTTACTCCTCAGGCTGTGGGTATATTTGAGATGCAGTAGTTAATGTACTTCAGCCTCAGGGAAGCCAGAACACTATAGAGTACTCTGGTCGGCTACAGCTAGTCTTTAAACTGATTGTAGAGGAGGCCAGACAAGCCTATAGGAGTCGAGTATTAGCAAAGGCAGAGTAGTAATAGGAAACAACTGGCAGTATCTGATAACTACTTAAGTATATGCAAGTTTTCCTGTACTCTGAAAATCAACTACCTCTCAAAACTAAGGAACTAATTGAGTGAAGCCATGGACTTAACAATATTAAGTTTTACCATTGTTTCTTCAACTCTATTGCTGACACATTTAGACTTTTATTTATCTTTATTTTCTAAAGAATTCATTTTGGTACTGTTACACTCTTAGAATCCATCTTCTCATAAGAAGCCCCTGTTACAGTAGTGTTGTCAAACTATGTAGCTGGAAAATAGGAGCAACAGAGCATGCTTGTCCAGTCACTCCATAACTATGGTTGCATTTAGCTTAAACGTTTTATAGTTCTCATTAACATGCAAATATACTAAAAGAGCTTCCATTTCCTCAATACCCTAACTATACTTTTTTTCTTTCTATAATTCCAAGTAGGAATAAACAAGTCTGCTAGTAAAAGTATAATCATAAGTGGAACTGGCTGTATTAGCTTAAAGTTTATTAGCTCTCTAATATTTAATTTTTTCCAGAAATTCAACTTCATTGTATTTCTACTAAGTAGACTTTACTTGTAGGAAGATTGGAAAAAGCTGATTGTAAATTGCTCGACGACAACCACAATACCTACTGTGGGATGCCAATATTTGAGCGAAAGAACTCTAATCGGGAAGGAACTGTCTACAGCGCTATCTCCTGACCAATCGACACACCACCCACACAGTACCGTGCCACACTCAAGGTGCCATCCAATGGGTTCCCATTCTGGAGCCAGCGCTTTCTCTTTCATCTCCTCAACAATGTTGCTCACACCCGTTACCTCGCGTCATTAGTCATAGCCGGGCCAGGCTGCTATTTTTCCAGTGTCTTCAATTCCCGCTGCACCCCATCCAGCTCCAACAGTTACCCCCCCCAAGCTGATACCCTTGCCCCGCATACCCTTATCACTCCTCTTCGCCCCACCCGCCTCTGGACCCACCCTACGCGCTGAGCCCATACTCGAGTAGATACAGTCGTAGATAAGTGCATGGGGCGTGGAGGCGAAGGCGGATAATGTAGATGTCTCCGTAGCTAAGTTGTTAGGGTTTACGGGTGGTCCCGGACTCCTTGGTAAGCATTATAATAAGAAAATAAGGTTTTCGTGGGGGGGGTGCTACTCGGGTGGCTTCTATAGTGGACTACGTGCTGCGGAAAGAGATTTTTTGGACTCACCGAGCACTTTGGGGGTATTATGTTAGGGGTGTTGCAAACGAGGTTGGGATTGGGATTGAGTATCAAAGAATCTACAGTTTCGTCGCTCGTTGCAGTATCAAATGTTGCATTCAGTATCGATAGGTTAACGGAAAACTTTCTCAATTGAAGCTGCATCAATAAATTGAAGACTCCTCGTACAACCCAGCCTCACGGGGATATTTGGCATGCACTGGTGCAAACACAATACTCTCTATTCAGAATCTGCGTAGAAACTTTAAAGTCACCACAAGTGCAGAGCCAATGGCTCCCATTGCCATGCCTCATCCGGGTTAATCGTGATCCGTCGTGAAGCGTTAGGGGCCGGAGGTGCATTCCAACCTCTGAATTCTGAGATCGACCTGACAAAGTGAGACCTAATTTCGCGGCCAGTCATTGACTGGACAACAGTTGAGGTACCGGTACTCGTACTCGAGTATCGAGTATCATACTGTAGACTACCGTAGGTCTAGTGGGCTGCTGATCCATAAGGGGAACCGTATGGAGGGTAACGGGTTGCCAAGACACTAGTTACCGGGAGCATGGAGTACTCGTACTATGATACTACTCGTACGTTGAGCGGGGTTAGGTAGTATCATACTGGTATCATAGGTGTGTTTCTACTTATGCTATTTTAGACAAATGGAGATATCATAGGGTATCACTCGTTCCTGAACACCAAGCGCGTGATACCCTCACGATAGATGCATACTCCCCTAGCCTATCCCTAGCACCCGCTCGCACTTCCTCTCCACTCCGCACATCTATTGGGGCCATCCACCGCTCACCACCTCACAGACATCATCCTTATCACCACTTACCACTCGCACCTACAGGTGCTTCGCGGCCAATGTAACCAACGTCTCATGGCACACCAACATAGGGCAAAGTAAGGAACAAACACACCGTAGGCTGTAGCGCAGAGAAGGAAAGAAAAGGGTTTTATATGCTTGTGGGAATTGCATTGGATTGATCGGGGTGAAGTGCTCCGGCTGAACGGTTTGTCTACATAACTCGTGATAGGTTAGACGAATGGGTAAGGACCTGGTTTGAAGGGTATTGTTGGAGCTCCCAGCAGGGTTGGGGGTGTGGTGGAGTGGATTTGTTGTATGATACATACTCGAATAGTTACCGGAGAGATGGTATGCTGGGAGATATGGGGTGTTGAGCCATGCAGTAAGTGGGCACTTGCGTTCTCAAGATTAAAACATGGGAGACCGGTTCGCCATCACTCTTGGACCCACTCGTTGCTCGCCGCTCGGCATCAATCTCCCCATGACTACCCTCTTCCACTTGGTCTCCTGGTGCTTCGTCAAAAAAAAAGCGAATGGAACTACTAAACGCATCATTCTTAAAGCTTAGTGTTAACTACCGTGTATTACATTTAAAGCCCCTAGACGGTATATAGTACAAATCGCCCCAACAGCAAATATCCAGAACAAGACAAGAAATAGTCTACAGAACGCCGTGCAATTATAGCCCACCGCTTTTTATGAATAAGTACTAGTAAACAAACGATACCGTAAAAAGTGTAATAACCGAGCCATGTGCTATGTAGTCGAAAAGGGGGCGAAAAACACGGCAGAAAAAGAGCTACCCAGCCCTTGTGAGGGACGGGAAAATAAAAACACCAGACCTTACCAAAGGAGGGAACTCCGACGACATATCCTGGTCCAATTATTCCGGATATTACGGTAATCGAAAGACGTCTGCACTGCCAACCCTCAACGCACGCGCCAGCTGAAGGAAAACCCATGAGCACCTAAATTAGCACATACAGCGCACTGATCTATACCCCGCCACCATCATTAGCACAATCCCCAAGGTAAAATGTAAGGAGGAATACATACCATTGAGAGCCCCCAAATCATCGACGACCAGAACATGATGTTATTAAACATCTTCTGGCTCTTCATAAACTCTGTCCTCTGTACGACGATGATGGGCAATTGCAGCATCTGGCACACAAAGCCATAGCCACGGAGTTTCTTAGTAATGCAGAACATAACAAGCTCGTGGGCGAGTGCTGATATCAGGAAGGTAGTAAGTGTGGCTATAGGTCGAGACATGTGACGGCGGGAAGCGCCATAGACATGACGTTGAAGGAAGCGGTGAACAGGGATGTTCCATTCCCGAGAGAATTCGAGCCAATCGGTGGAGTTCCTGATCGAAAGTCATCAAACGATCCTTTGGAAAACAAACCCAAGAGCAGATTTACCACCAGTCAGAATAAAAATGCCTATCAGCAAAGCAGGTGATCTCCGCAAATGCCCCAAGCACGTACTCAAATATCACCAAGAATACCAGGAGGAAGGTGACCATAAAGGGGAACAATAGCAGACTGATGCTCTCTAGTAGAATCAGGGCAATATCCGAATAGGCATTAACACTCTCCAACCGGGTAGCTGCTTCAGCCAGCTACAATCCCAAATTAGCAAAAGGACGCGACAAGGACATGGGCGGGAACCCCACAATCGGCAAAATAAACTCCTCGCTCGTCACAGTAAGCAGAAAAATGCAACCAAACACAGCGGCGGCCTTTTCGGCAACCTTGCCCCAACGAATGCTATCCTGGAAATTAGCATGTTACACAAAATCCACAGGGTTGGCCACGAACCGGTCAGTCCGTGGGTAGCTCAATTCATAGCATAAAGTTGGACAGAAGAGGTAGTCGACGAAATTGTACAAGGTCAGGTTCTTGGGATAAGTCACTCTTCCAGAAGGACTAGTGACCTCAAAGGCTAATGCTTCGCGGAGGTCTGCATCTTCAGTCGGTTCCACCTTTGTATTATTTTCGTCAAGCGTTCGGAGCCTCTTATAGCATTCTGAGAGATGCCCACAGTAGAATGAATACGAGTGCATCTAAACCGCAATCAGCACCCCGTTATAAGAGGCGGGGGAAGGGGCCCAAAACCTTCATGAGCATAGTGAGAGAATGAAGCGTAAAAAACACCTGATGAGTCCTGCATCCCGTGTTAACCCCCAAATCATCTCCTTCAGTATCAATTAACACTATCATACCATTGCCACTCCAGATGAAACGGGAGGTGTACCCAGCCCGCTAACCAGACCGCCTGCAGCACGTGCTGAAGCATATATCCACTCCTACCCCAGGACCACTTGTCAGTCGAGAATGCCTGCTGCAACGGTAAACAAACAATTGTGCTCAGAAACATGAACAGATCGGCAATAGCAAGCTCGAGCGGGGCCTTGGTAAACATGCTAAAGATCGAGGTTCTCAGCACCCTCCGGGTATCCTTAAGATTCCTCAACGCTGTAGTAAGTACCATAATGAACAGCCCGATCCAAAACAGCGTAAAGAAACCCCGGAAATCACGATGCTGAGACTGGGGGTCGAAATGCGAGACACGGCTCTCGTAGTCCACGGTTGGGAACATTCGCCGCCGGCGCTCCCGGCGGGCATGCTGTATTGAGTGAGCACTCGGAGGTGCATCTTCAGGAATTGGAGTACTTCGTCCACTAACAGAGTAAAGATTAGAATTACCGCCACTACTTCCTTTCCTTCCCACCGGCGGCGGGGCCGGCGACACGGGGGAGGCAAATAGCTGACCTGGAGAGTACTGACGAAGTTTCACTCTCCAAACGAGCTGGAACAGGCTTCAAATGAGCTTCCCCATTTGATAGCTCTTGCAGATTCTGCGCGGCCCCATTGCTGGATCTAGCGCGGAGAATGTTCTCTAGTGGGTCGTGGTTAATGCCAGCGGAGGATGAGGCTGAAAACGCAGATATCTTCGGCTGGGATTCCATCTTGCGACGAACAGGGAAAGCGGGAGGGCGGTGGCGAGAGTACTCGAGTAGCTGTGTGTTCAGGATATGGTGCCAAAGTCAAGTGTCAAGGAAAATGGAACCTATAGGGGGAAAGGGGCTCAATCATAGCAAACCCTACAAGCTGTATTCACAACATTAGACTAGACTACAATAACTTCCCTGTGAATGGGGAGGTAGAGAAGGAGAATAGGAGGAAGGGGTGGAACAAAGACAAATACCGGTGGTCTGCTGGGCGTCCGTCCGCTCAAGCTGATATAGTAATATCATATATTAGGAGGAGGAATAAAGGGACATGACATGAGGGTCAATTTCAGGAAATGAGGCCCGGGATTGATCAAAGGTTTGGGACGCGAATAAATGAGAGGAAAAGATTCAAAGGGGCTCAAAAAGGTGTTTCACACCTTCAATCTCGTTTGTTTCCTCAAGATGGTAAAAAGTTAACAGTCTGACGTAATCGCAATTTTCCCAAAAAACACCCAAATCCAGTTCCAGCATCCATAAATAACCATAATTTACTTGGACAAGCTAGATGCTGCACTCGAGATCTTACAAGTGGTTTACAGCTCCTACCGGCATATGCTAGATTCAATGCCTTGTTTATGCCTCGAGTTGATTCTGATCTGAGAGATACCTGATACAAGTACAGGAGATGTGAATACCGTACCCCGACACAGGTATCACAAACCATCCGGACCCAGAGAAGCGGAGCTGACACATTGACAAACCAAACGAAGAACAGTGATCCCCAATTGCACATCCCACCCATGCAATGTCCTCAACGACCCCCACCACCACCATCCCCGTCACTGACACGACTACCCACCTACCCGCCGCAGAAATCCTTGCCTCAACCCTCCTAACCCAGAACATCCGACAATCTAACAAAACTTCACACTTCCCAAAGACTCTGTCGACCTCCTGCTCGGCCCTAGACCAACATGCTCTCTCTGGCGGGTTTCCTTACGGACATTTAACTTCCATATCCGGTGCTTCGGCGACCGGAAAATCACTTGTCACACTCCCCCTTATCCCCCTCCCGTTTGGCCTGCGGACTGACGCAGCATGAGGGCAGAAATAGATAGCAATGCATGCCCTGGTCACTCACCTCTTACTCCACTACAACTCTTCCGCTGCATGGGTTGACACCCTGGGAACTTTCTCCCCAAGCCTCCTCCAGCAAGTTGTCTCATCACGGACAAACAACGACGGTAAAACCATATCCAACGTCCTCGACCGCGTACAGATAATGCGCGTCTTCAACATTCACGGCCTGACCGAAGCTATAGACGAGCTCCGCACCAGCCACCTTGACCGCGAGAAGCGCCGGCGTATAGTAAACGACAGCGAGGATGAAGCTTCCGAAGAAGAGGAACCCCCGTCGGAGCCCTTTGACGGTACCCGAGTAATAGTAATAGATACAATATCCCAACCCGTAACCGCACTAATGACCGCAGGCCCCTTACAAGCGCAGGCAAGAATGGTAGGAGTAACATGTTCCCTCTCCGACCTTGCGAGGAGGTACAACATTTGCACGCTGTTACTCAATGCCGCGGTTTCGAAACCGACGAGCAATCCAGACGGTGGACAGCAGACATATACGCACACTCAAGAGGACAACCTCTCGAGCGCTTTCTCCGCCGCAATGAGTAAGCCCGCTCTTGGGAATGTATATGCGCATTGCGTGGACGTCAACGTCTTACTCGCCAGGGTAAAAGTGCGAGGGAGGCGGAGGAAAGGTGAGGGTGATGGTGGGAAAAATGAAGATGTAGTCATGGAGGTGCTCAGTGATCGGACGGGAGGTGGGAGGACAGGGATGTGGAGCGCTTTCGGTATTGTCGGTATTCCCCCGACACCCCCAGGGAGGAGGAAGGAAAGCAAGGATAGCACGAGAGTATGGGTGACTGACAAACGAGTGGATAGGAGGGAGTAAACCTGGCTCCGAGGGTACCACTTCCGCCGGAGGAAGCTAGGGTCCAAGTTAGCTAGCCGTGATAGTCTAGAAGACTATACGAGCCTTCCGCCAGGTCATGGCCGGGCCATTATAGCTGACTACCTAGAAAACCAATGCGAAGCTCCTAAACCCGGCTACATATAAGCTCGTGCCAAAGACCCACATACTACTGTCCAGTTATCCAGCCCAACTAAGTTACGTACACCTACTCACTTCCTCACACACGAGCAAATCCCTAGATAGTGATCTTGAGTTTGACTAATCGTTGCAAACAATGAGAAAAAAGAAAAAAAGAGCCCGGCGTAGTCCTTTACTGAGGGTACACAATATAATACGTATTCCATTATGAACCAGTTTTGCGCTAGGAACCCTCCAGGCACCAAATGCCTCGATTCACGCCCGTAAATACAAAACTACCTCCACACTTATTTTACCCCGCGATTCCCCAGGGACTAGCCGCCGTCCCGTTATGTGCCGCTAGATGTCTGTAATGGATGAGCGATCGTTTAAAATACCATGAAAAACAGGGGTCTAAGTTTAAAATACCATGACATACCATGACTGGGGGGGTAAACTTGGACCCATGGTCTCAGAGGTCAGCGCAAGGGAGGTCTTAACACCACTTTTGCTAGACATTTTCTCCTTGGCACTTTGCTATTTTGTTTTTTGGACTTTTTTGGAATAAGGTGCATGATAATTTTATGTCAGCAAAAAAAAAAAAAAAAAAAGGTCAAATAACAAGAACTACATATGAGTACATGTCCTACAGCTCCTACTATTGTGTCCAAGCTTCCTACAACTACAACAGATCTGTTATGTAGACCCAGATGGTTGATTCTATCCAACAAAAACAACTCACGACTTTCGTTCGTTGCCTTCCAATAACTCATCTTCCAGAAGAGACCACTACCCGTACTTCCTGTTGAACTTGTAGCAGTTCAGGGAGAAAAGTATTTCTGTTTTGTCATCGGCAGGTAAAAGATTTGGTGCAGGAGGAAGAATAGGGGGGTGAGGAAGTGGTTGAGGTTCGGGAGTGCGCTGAAGTAGAATTGGAGGTGGTAGAGATAGATGATGAAAGTGTTCTGGGAGAATAATTGGAGGAAAGTTGTATCAATAGGTTTGCTTCCTTGTATCTACAAAGAATTTGTAAGCTACAGTCACTCAGCAGAAGTGTTCGTGATCTGAGACAATGGTTAATTGCAGTTGTGCCATATAGTGGGGCAGTGCCAGCGGGGTTGTCAACGGGCGTACGCGCATGCGAGTTCAAGTTCACAATCAATAACTACTGGCACCTCTTAACATTCAACGGTCAATTGACCTGCCATAAATTAAACTAGCTAATATTTTGTATAACCTCCTCTTCCTTCTAAAACTGCAGCCACCCTATCAGGCATTGATTTCCACAACTTCTCCAAAAACTCCTCAGGAATTGTCTCCCAAATCAATGGTAATACATGTGCAAGTCTTCTCCTAACAGCCTCTTTTCCTCCTGGAGTATCTGCAATCCTTGGATACTGCTGGTGCAATTACTTTTTAAGCTCAACTCATACATGCTCAATAGGATTTAAATCAGGGAAATAAGAGGAGTGGTCTACAACCTCAATACTGTTTCTCTCCAACTAATTCATAACACTATATACCTTGTGAACAGGAGCATTATCTTGCTGAAAAAGAATATCTTCAAGTTGTATACCAAAGGAAATCATTTGATGAATAACAGGAAAAAGATATCTTCTCAAAAGTCTAACATACCTGGTCTCATTGATAGTTTGAGTAATAGGAACTAATGGACCTTTTCTTTTACACCAAAAGTACCCCCAAACTGTAAGCAAGATTCACTTCTCCTTCTCCTTTGGGTGTACACAATCAGCCAACCACTTCTCTGCAGGTTCTCTGAATACCCATTGTTGCTTTGGATCCTTAGATTTCTCCATACTGCACTCATCACTCCAAATCACCCTTTTAAAATCCTCAGCTGTCCAGTCTCTATGAGCTGTAACCCATCTCAATCTCTTAGCCACATGATCAGGCTTTAGCCTAGGTCTTGTCTTGGCTATCCATTTTTTAATATTTGCTTCTCAGAGTACCTGGTATTAGGAATACCAGATCCTGATACCTAATAACCACCCTAAGTAGGGTAACCCCACTTGGAATCGGAATCTCTGGTCTCCAACACCCCCCTCCAGCTCCCTTACAGGGCCCGCGCATCATCATATATATCAATCTCAGTTGCGTCCTGTGACTATATTACTACAGAATTGAAGGTATTAGAATAATACTATATACATCACCGCTGTCTGTCCGACCGGATCCTGTTCGCAGGTTATATGAGAAGGGACCTTCGGTTAGGTCTGGAAAGTGGAACGGAGTGATACCGTCAACTACTCAGAGAGTTACTTTGCTCCAAAGACAAGATACCTTTGGCACGGGCTATAAGTAATGGGACGATTTCGCATAAAGAGATGGTATCAAATGGTAAAGGATCTCTACTAGAGACCAATACATTTACATCCACCAGAAGAGTCTAGAACTCCAAAAGATACTACCAAAGAAGCCAACGAACTTCACAGAGGGTTGCAACTGGGTTTCGGAACACGTCATAACCATGGGGTGATCCTCAATACTACAATGGTTACTGAAACCTACTACCCAGAGAGGAACCAAGGGTTACTGACAGAGGGATTAATTACCAATCTGGTGGAATAGCTTCCTGCTAGTTGATAGGAAGTCATTCTGAGAAAATCTATCTGTTGGGTATGGAGTTACAAAGGATCGGAGTCAGACGACCTAAAATTGGTTGTAATGACAAGCACCTTTGCAGATATAGCCGTGGATAAAACTGATCATTTTATCAATGGCGAAGACAATTGGAGCCAACTCAGTTCAACTTAAGAACTAGGCCATAAGTCCAAAGACTCTGCTAATTGGGATATTACTATTGGAGACAGTACGTTTCCTAAGAAGAAATATCGTAATTACTGAAGAGGGTGTGATGGTTTTCAGAGTCCACAGGTGTTCGCACCTTGGAAGAAAACTCGACGTTGTGAAATTACAATTAAAGAAGTACATAGTTGTATGATAAATAGACGTAGTCCGCCAACACTCAGACGCGGAATATAAATATCGAAGTGCCTCCCAAGCTTTAGACATCACCAAGCAACGGAGAAGAGACCTTAACAATATAATATTGTTTTTACGATTCTACCCTACTTTACCTACTTTACTTCACTCTTAGTAGTCATAAACAAAACGAGCCAAGTTTGAGCCTTCCTAGACAATCTCCGTCTACAAAAACGAATCTCGATTGGCCTAGACAATCTTGAAGTCTACCAAGTTGTCTCCGCCTAACACCCGGTCCACTATGCAGGTAAATTTAGTAGGCAATCATATTCAGTCACTTTGGGTAGTACAAAGAGTTACCAGTATCAAGAGAAATATCAGGTGCATAGCGATCCCTGAAGGCGTATCTGGTCATTTTCCAGTTGGACTTGGCTGCCTGTATAATTGTGCGATGCTGTTGACTACTTAAAATAGGGGTACAACCAGGGCAAGGGAGATTTTCAAGAGATTAGTGTTCACATGTTCAGACAAGAAAGTTCTTAACTGTTGTCCATGGGCGTCTAGTAATTTGAGCCACCAAGGCAATGTTCCAGAGGCAGTAGAAAAAGGCGATTATCATGCCCTTCTCTGCAAGGCGCATTTCTCTCCGAGTGGTTTTAGGTAGGAGTCTTTTTTTTGCAGCATACTTCATATTTCCAGAATGCTTAACCATTGGTAACAAAGGTAGAGGAAATTAATAAATTAATTAATTTAGTAAAGGAGGCTTCGGTGGGTATAGATTTGTGAATGGTCATGGTCGCGATGGGGTAAACAGTCATGATCAACTTTACACTTCATTGAAAGGTGGCATTTTGGCGAGGCAGCTTAGTTATCTGAGATTGGTTTCACGAACACTTCTGCCGAGTGACTGTATATAGTTATCAATTCTGTATCGAAGAGTCAATATGCATGCAATTTTGTACTGGTAAGGAATATTGGTATCTTGGAAGTGGTGACAGGTGCAGGTACAATATTCAAGATCTACTACACAGGAAATTTGAGCTAGTGATTGAACTAGGCCATGATAGTTGTCTGCTATTCAAACAATATTTCGAAGTGCATTTTCACATTCAAGGAGAAGGATGCTGTGGTAAAAATAAGTAAATGTTTGTCCAATAATCACTGCATTGGCTTTGTTGGCATATTGAAAATGTATTTCCATAGTAGTATACTATACTTCCATTAAGAGATCAAGGATAGAAAGCTCTCATGCATTTCTCAATACATGGTTCATAACCTTGACCATATTCGATGTTTTTTGTCCAAATCACCAAGAAGGTCCTCCAGGAATAAAGGCTGAGATCCACATCGCAGGGTCTATTTCTTCTAAATAGACTACTGCTGAGGGCTTTTCTAATAGTAGTAGTGTAACGGTTGTCTGGTATTCATCTACTATTTTCGAAATTACAATATGCCAGAATAAATCCCCATATTTCCTTGAATATAATTTGATGAAATTTCAATACAAATGCTCTAAATAAAAAAGTCTAATAACATTATTACCAAGTGTATCTTCAGTAACTAGAAAATCTTTATTCCTATCACTAATATTACTGGCATTCAAGGTGTGTGGCATAGCATCCTTAAGATGACCAAGAAACTATCTCCAGGACTCTGTATTCTTACTTTCTATAACTACATAAGTAAGAAGTAAATAGTGGTTATTGGCATCAACATATGCTGCAAGGAGGAGGGTTTATTGGAAGTGTACCTCTAAAAATGTATCATCCAGAGTGA